TGTCATGTTGTCAGTTACTTCTAAAGTTAGGTAACAAGCAGAGCTGGTTGTCGATTTAGATCCCTCTTTCCATCTTATCATGCCTTTCGAATGTTAAAAAAATCTGGAGCTCATAGTGAATTTCAGTTGATGCTTTTACCGAGAAACTTTAGGTAAAATGGACACAAGGCACAATTTTACCTAAAGAGGGCCTGGATTTTTAGATTTAGTGCCAACAAGAAATCTTCAAATCTTCAAATCTTCAAATCATTGGTTTGTTTACCCTCATTCATATCAAGGAATATCATATTTAACCAACGTAGCAACTACCATTGCTTGATCCTTTGTAGATTTTATGACATGAAGGTCTTTGAAATACCTAAAGCGTTTCTTCAACCGAGCGGATTTATCTGAAATTTCCTATTGAGATACTATAAGGGGAGGTGTGAAAGGGATATGGTATTCAGGTAGTGGCATCAAAGATTATGGGAGAAACACCTAGAGCCTCCCCCCTACTCCAAGATGTGCCCCGGCGTCCCTGACCAACTCTGACCAACTCTGACCAACTATGCTCTGACCTTACTGAATGAATAATGATGAAAAATTTTAATTTATTTCAAACAAATCCTCTATTATGTTAAAACAATGAAGTGGTTTGCCAATGTTAATTTCACATTAAACTCCTTTGGCATGTTATTGAAATCTCAAATTAATCTGATTTCCTCGATCCAGAAAACTGCAGAGCCATGTTAAGGAGCGCCTGGAGCTCTACAAACCACTCATCTCTAGCTGTAGTGTAGGAAAAAATCAAAAACAAAAACATTTTAAGAATAAAAGACTTTCAAATTGCCACAAAGATTGAAGAGCTCCGTACTATTCATTACCTAAAGGACAGTCCAAATAATGAATTGCAGTTAATAATGAAAATAATAATAATAATAACAATGATAATAATCGATTTATTTACAGTAGGCGCTAGGCGGGTATAATATAGCTATCTATGTACAGTTTATGTAGAAGCTGGTTTAGGCCTACTTTACAAAAATTTAAAATAAAAAGCCATTAAGAATGAAAAATTAATAATTACATATATAAAACCTTACTTAATCAATGAAAGAAATGAAATTGAAGATTTAAAAAGTTAATTGGTTAGAAATCATGTTGCTCTTATCTTTATGATGACTCAGAACTAATCTGAACTAAGACAATGGACTCTTCTTTTGAGGGGAATTTAACACTATATCAAAGAAACGCCTAGACCTAGACCTCCGAAGCGGAAGACCTAGACCCCGAAAGGATAACCTGTTGCTTTTTGTGCAACTCTGTTAAAATCAAGAATTATGTAACAGAAACAAAAAGTCAGACCATACGAAAGACTATCAGCAAATTCAGACTATCTGACCATAAATTAGAGATAGAAACTCAGAGATACCATAGGTCAAAAAAGAGCCCAGATCAACGGATCTGTTTATAATGTGGGGAGGTGGAAGATGAAATATACTGCCTCATGAGATGCAAACTAAATATAGCCGAAAGAGAAAAACTTTTCTCTAAAATATCATCGCATAACAAAAACTTCAATCAGTTAAACGAAAAATCAAAATTTATCACACATTACAGTTATTAACCTGGGTTTACAAGATAAGACCCTTAGTGCAATCGTAAGGGCAAAAGGAAAAACTCAAAAAATCCAAAATTAAAAGGATGTAATTCATGGTTTGGAGAAATCATCCTAGGAAGAAAATACAGAAAAATCCTCCAGTCAACGATATCGGCTTTTTAGGTCGAACCATTCACCTTGGTACAAGTAAACACCAATTTATCGGATATTGGCCAAGGTGCACTAGCAACTGTGACATGGTTTTATAGAGACAAACGTGCTCGTTCCATCCAAAGAAATTATAACATGATTCTATCATCTCGCGGGCAACATAAATTCTCTTCCCGGCCGGGCTGGATTCCGGACCGCGGGTTGTAGGTTGCCCATCCCTGCTCTGACTACAACACTGGAATTTCTCTCCTTTGCCAAAACACGGTGCATCAGTGCTCTTTAATTGGGCGCAAGGCCGTCACTACGGCGGAACTTGGAGAGGGGGGGGGTGTGATACAGTTTTTTGTCATTTAGGGATGCTTCGTCTCGTCGGCAAAATTTTCAAGCTTGTCGGCAAATAAAGGATTCGTTCACCAAATTTGTCGGCAAATGGCACCTAAATACCCCCCCTCCTCTCTCTCTCTCTCTCTCTCTCTCTCTCTCTCTCTCTCTCTCTCTCTCTCTCTCTCTCTTGAGCACAATAGTCCTGGTTGGTTAGGCCCTTCAGGCATAGCAATTTTAAATTTTTTACGTAAGGTTCAAAGTGTCCTTCAAATGTCGTTAAAAATTTGAAAGGTTTTCAGCAATGTTTACAAACCTAGTAAGGATCTTTATAAATATTTTCAAAATGTGAAAACAATTATACTTACATATTCTATCAAGCATGAAATGATAAATTGTTTTTTCCGTTAAACTACTATTCCCTGAGCTAAAACTACAGGGCTGCGGGAACTCTTGACAAATTAACCCACGCTCGTAGATTGGGGATATTACACCCCGCACGTCCCTGTAGATTGGGGATATTAAATTCTATGAATTAGTTGGACATATAAGAATAATAGTAACGTGTAAGTCGAAACTCCACTTTTTACTTACGTTAGATTATAACAAAACATAACGCCAATCCCGAGCATTTTCTCTTAACTGTCAGTTGAAAATTTCGTACCCTTCATCCCCCTCCCCAATAAAATATCAGTTAGTTTCAATTTACGTCCCTGCGTCAACTTGATAAAGCTATCGTGAGTTTACATTAATACTTCAAATTTTAACTCTCCAACAAATTTCTAAACTTCCAAGAAACAGTGGCGGATTTCCTATGGAGCCTGAGGGGTCCAAAATCTAACTGGCCTTTCATTCTCAGGCAAACATATTTTGGTATTTTCAATCAAAGGCCACATACTTGATGGGGACTCATTGCAATCACGTCCTGCGGGGCACACTAATTTTTTGTAAGAAACAGGTGGTAAGAAACGGTAGGCTCAATTTTTCGAAGTCAAGGCTCAATTTTTCGAAGTCAAGGCTCATTTTTTCGAAGTCAAAGTTCAACCCTACCCAAGTTGAAAAAAGCTAAGCAACTTTTATGATTTGCAGCTTTAATTTTCCGAGTAGAAACTCGAAACAGTCTTGACATTTAACATCGCTTGATATTGCAACACTACACCTATGCAGTTTGCATTCATTCCCAGTAAATTGAACACTCAAGAAGTTACCATAAAAAAAAATTGGCTTTGACTTCAACTTGACATTGTTGAAGTTCAATGAGCTCAACAGTTTGCAGATCTTAACAGAGTTAGCCATTCTATGAAAACAAAATTCCTTTGTTAGTTTATCTCTGAATGTGAGTGCACTATTTACTTTGCCTTGGAAGCACGTTTAAAATATCCATCGCCTAAGAAAAGAAACATGAAAAAAACTTTTGATAGCAAAATGACCAGAAAATTTAAGAAACTGCCTACCAGCACCGGACCTTAGTTTCTTGTAAAAAAATACGGGTAATTTACTGGCCAATATCTGGCGTGACGTCTACATGGATTCCACCCTGGATTATATGGTTTTGTCGTGACCATTGAAATTGCATTCAGTCGTTGCAGATTTTATCACTTCATGGTCAGATGTTAGTTGAAAGTTAATTATTAAATACAGAGAGTTATTTTCTTACGATTGTGAGTAAGTGGAGATACGAAGAGCCTTTTTTTCTTTTCACTTTAAATTTATCAAAGCATTTGAAAGTGGGGCAGTTCTTTAGTGCCTAGAAGCAGACAAAAGTAGAGTGCTGTATGTAGTTTAAGTTTGTTTTTCTGAAATTCAAGGATTGCGGTAGAAACAACATTCCATAATGGGATAGTTCGTGGGATAGCTCGTAGAATTGGGAATTCTGCTGTAAAGAAGCGTGAAAATTATATTGTTATTCTAAAAGTTGCGGACGAATGAACTTCATTGTGACGATGTCTGCGTGCCGCAAAAAAACCTAATCAGCAACGGTCTTCTTGCAATGGTTGCGATTACCCCCACCCCCTCCCACCTTTTACACCACTGCCGAAAACATTTTCGTGTGAATTATTCATTCCGTTTCGGATATTTATACATTATTTTTATCCATAAATTTATATTTTATCGTTGGTTTTTGTGACAAGCTGAATTGAGAATGTCTACGTAGAAATGACCCCCCCCCCTCCCCCCTCCAACAAATCATAAAGTGTTTATCAATCAGACTTGTTCTTCAGCATGATATTCAAAATTCGCTAAGTGTTATCGGCACGAAAACCCATGTTCTGTCTTTTGACGAAATATCTTTTCGAGTACCATCTCGGACAATCAGATTATTACAGCGATTAATAAAATCACTAAAAAAGGCATCGTTGAAATTTTAACATGAAAATTGAACTTTCTAACCTAATAAGAGCTAACTTAATAAAGTGCAAAGACTTTCACTGAGTGAGTTAAAGGATAGAAAAACTGGATGAAACCTCACAGAGAAAAACACTTGGCGTTAAGCAGATCGAAATGCCACAATGAAGGAGCTTAAAAAAGTTCCACTTATTGAACTCATTAGAATATTCGATGGTGATAGCGGAATCGTCGACAAGATAAACGGTATGGTTAGTTGTCAAATTGACAGCTCAAGGCTATTTGGCCTGAGCAACAATAACAAGGCATTACTCGAACAGGGCCGCTCGATATTAAAATGTTCAGAGGAGAATTGATGTATTTCCCGTTCGGTTTATTATTTTGTCTCTCAAATCACCTGTGCTATATTAAATGTAGACTTATGCCTTTCCGTATTTGTTTAAAAAGGATTGATCCTAGTTCAGGATTCTGGTTGAATGCTCAATTCAAAGATAAACATGCAATCGCCCCATGTCTTACCGTAGGCTTATACTGACAAAATCCTGAACATGGTTAACCGAGACAATTTTCATTCTAATCATACCTTGCAGATGGCATTCTTTTCTTGTTTCATTCAAGACCTCCTGCATTCTTTGGACACTCTCTACGCTCGCTTTTAGTTCATCAACTTGTGACTGCAAGCTTTCCAGCAAACTAATAACTTTGTCAATCTTCGATGGTTTCGCATTCTTCCCCGTTTCTGTCTGGCTCTGCTTCTGGCCTTTAATCGGCTGTAAAAGTTCCTCAAAAGTTAACGCATCCTCCGGGATTCCTTTACGTCCATTTCCAACTCCTTCTAAGAGGGTCAGTGCATTTAATTCTCGAGAAACTAAAAGCAACACTAGAAATTTATATACAGCGGGCCCGTGCACGGCCATTCTCAGTACATGTGAGATAACTGCGAGCTCGCAGGAGCGTTAAAATGACTTCCCCAAATCCTCTGCTCACCAGATAGCTAGAGAGCTGCGGTTTTATTTATATTCCGCCGTAAGCGATTGTTAATTGATACACGAGACTAATTCGAGTGTTGTTGTTTCGTCGACAATTCTCAACAATTCATACCGATTTCCTGTCAGTCATCTTCATAAAAATGCCGATCCCCCAATGTTTTGTGTAGCAAACTCAAGTATATGGAGATTCGTCTGATACTGCAATTATCAAGTTTTGACAGAAAACTTGAAGTCTTTTGGTTTTATCAACGCAGACGGGATTTCCACTGAGAAGAGACAAGGAATTTTGGTCAAAAAAATTATTTTGAAAAGACGATTCGTACCAAAGGTGCATTTGATTTGGAAGAGGCGAAGAGGAAAATGCCTGCACCCTTTTCAAAATTAACTATCTGCTTCTACTAAGCTGCGCATATGCTTAAATGCTAATTACAAGGACAAACAAAGTTTCTTTAGGGAATTACCATTTGTTAAGTAGATTCGATTTATAAGGGTGATTAAATAGCCTGGTCTGTGCAATCATTCATATGCAAGCACAAACGTATACCGTATACACATACGTATGCGCCCGTTCATTTGTAAATAAATTCAGGACTCTTATGGATCTTTCTTGGTTGTGGCTTATTGGTGGGGATGATTATTTCAAAGTCCCAAAAGAGTTTAATAAAAAGGAACCAGTTTTTTCATAGTAGAGTGCCGTCGGAACGAAATTCATATTGGGGGGAAGGGCTGCCCATTGCATCGCTTTCGATTCAGTACACTGTTCAAAAGGAAATATGCGACAGTTTGACAATTATTAAGGGGCTGAAACCTCTCTCCCCCCAGTACTTCGTTTCAGGTAGTAAAAAAGGCTTAACCAAAAGATCCCCCCTTTAGGGCGTTGCTTAAAAGGGTTGCTTCAAAGAAGGGGGACTATTATTTGAGGCGGGCTCTGAAGTAAGGAAACCATAATTGGACAAGGACGATATTGCCCTGGGTGTTAGAGCCTCAGAAAGTCAAAGGATGAAGAACGGGGGAAAGGGATTGCGAGCCCGTTCTTCATCCTTTGATTTTCTGGGACTTTGGTACCGAGGGTAGGAGATAAATGCAAAGTGCAGGTGTACCATAAGCCCTGGAATCAGCCCCCACCTTAGAATAAGTCCCTTTTCTCGAGTAAGCTCCCAATCTACAATGTTTTTGCGACGTTAGCCCCTAGCTATCTCCGAATTACCCCCATGGGCTGATTCTGTGCTAAGATATTGCCTCAACAACAATATGTAGTATATCCCAATATTTTTGCATCTTTAAGCATACTGACCAGCCTAAAAAGGACAACAAAATATGCCCTTGTAATATTTTTGGCTGCCAGTAAATAAGTCTTTCCTTCGAATAAGGCACCGCTCGAATAAGCCACCATCTAAAACTATTTTGTGCCATATTTGCCAAGAGCCATGTTCAAGGACTAACGGTAAGTCAGCTCGATTCCTTTTTTCGCGCCATATATTGACTTATAATAATCTTGCTCCGGCAAACACAAGGCAATTCTGAAAAAAGACTTCCTCTGTCGGGTAAATTCCCTAGCAGTTGAAAAATAATTTTAAAGAATAATTGCACATTAAAACAATTTTGTTAATCGAGCTAAAAAAATTCACAGGATTTTTATTAGAGAAGACTGTATAATAATATTGACACTCAAAATAGGAAAAATTTAAGAAATGATCAAGAAAAATTATCAGGCTTGATTTCCATTGACAATTTGACTTTTTATCTAGAAGAGCCTTTTCAACAAAGAAGATTAGAATGGCTTTTACCAAGTTTTAGGTATACCTATCAAGCTTGTATTTAGTTCAAATATCGCGGAGCATTTACAGATAGGGGGCTAAGCATGCTAAAAGCCAAGGGCGATTTTTGTATGCTTTCAAGTATATTTTTGAAAAGTCAGGAGGAAGGGTTAGTGCCCATGTAGCCCCCCGCTTTCGAGGTCCTTGATTCAGCTAGTTTGTTTCGTTTCCTAAAGGGAATATTCGATTACAAGAGACAGTTGTAGGGATTTGAACATTTTGTAACGGGTGACTTAAGAGTAATTTTAGAAACGTGCTTACAGAATGACAAATTAAAAAATGTTCATTGAGAAAGGTATATAATATAGCTTGTACAACGTTTTTGATGCTCTTCATCAGGTTCAAGCCGATGTTCAGGTTCAGTAGCAGGGCCTATTTAAGTGTACAGTATTACACACTTTGTGCAGTATTGATTTAAAAATGTGCAGTATTGATTTCGAAAATGTGCAGTATTGAATTTTGGGATTTGTGAAAATGTCTAATTGCCGCTATCCCAGATTCTCGCTTTGTTCACAAAATGTGAATTTTCCCCGTCAGTTCGATATAGAGGTCATGTAATGCAAATCTCGTATGACCATCGGAAAGACTCTCTTATGAAAAGAAACAAAACGAAATGACTAGAAATTTCCAAAAATTGCAACAACAAAATTTCCTATAAAAAATGTAGTTATAAATGTGCCGTATTAAAAATTTCTTAAAATAGGCCCTGTTCAGTAGTTACACTCTACCTTCGACTCAAAAACCCCCTTGACATTCCAGAAGCCAGAACCACCAATAACGGATGAGATCATTAAGTTTTCAAGGGCCTAAAATCTGGAATTCACTCCCGGAATCAATAAAGACAGCACAAAATACTAGACAATTTAAGAATTTGATCAAAACTTAGTTCCTTGAAAAAAAGTGCGCATGCTCATTTTGCAGTAAATGAACTGTCTTATGCAATCCTTGATATTGCTTCATGTTAGTCTTAATTAGTGTATATTCACTATTGTAGAAAATAACATTAAATAATCTACAATACAATACAATAAACGTTACTTCAGAGTACTACTTCATAGGGGAATTGTCATGCAATAATAATAATTATAATACTACAGGTATCTAGCGAGAGATTGCACTGGCCATCACAACAACCATATTCTTAGTTTTTCTACTGCTTTGCTATTCACTATTTACCATAATATTCAAATTTCAGTTGTAGAATAAGAGAGAAATGATTGGAGAAGTGGCTGCATCTGATTGAGATGAAAATAGAATTAAAGACTTGGTCCCATTTGAGGCTTTCCTGTTGACGCTGGCAAAAAGTCAATGCTGAATGTTGCAAATCTTTAATCTAATAGCTTTAAGTTGATTTAGTTTGTTTCTTCAACAATACTTTTTATCGTTTTATGAAGCTATCAAGCAAAGTCTAAAATAAAGTTATGACGTTAAGAGGTAGATCAGAACTGGGACCTAGTTTTTCAGGCCATAGATTTTCTTTAATGCACTTTGTTGTTGAAGATGAGTTCCGACAATTTTATGACTTTTAATTTGATAGTCGTAGTGGCCCTGCAATGATTTAGTAAAGGTATAACTTCAAAATTTTAAAATCTCAGGTACAGCTTTCTTATTTCTTAAAGCGTACGAAGTCACGCAATATCATGTTATACTTTCCACAGGCGTTCGCTCAATTTTCTTACAAACGTATAACGTATAAGTAAATCTAGAATTGTTGGGTGCACTTAATCTTTGATTTGAGTGCCTTTTACAGATCTTCATCCTTATGTTTTCCATTCTCCATACAGTGGTGTCGCCAGAAACTTTCTGACGGAGAGGCTTGATTTCCGAAAGGGGCGCGGGAGGAGGAAGGGTTGGAAATCAGAGCGAGAACTTGAAGTTCTGCTTCTAGACTTGGTCCCATCTGATCGTTAACAATCAACGTTCTAGCACCCTTAGGTAGTAGTGACAAATTTGGTTGGGCGCAGGAGAAGATGTTTAGAAATGTTTTAAATATGATACTAAGGTGAGTTAGGTTGTCTATCCGTTTTACCTATGATTTACCCAACCCATTTTAGGGCAACTGCACTTCGCATTTGACAATTCATCCATTCAAAGTATATGTAAATGTACAATTTTCGCAATTAAATAGACAAAAATTGATTTCTTCCAAAAGGCCTTGCCAAGTCTATGATACAACAGGTACAGTAAATGGCTAAAACGTAAAACAGTTCGGTAAAGTAAGAAAGAGAATACCATAGGGACGTGTGTGGTTCAAAGACACTTTATAGATCGAAAACTAAAAAAAACATCGTTTAAGAGAACCTAGAATTATAGAATACTTTTTAACTCAATGGGATAATCTACAGTTATCCAATTTCTGGCTATGAGCACAACGAAATCTTGCTCTGATCAAATCTAAAAGTTTTTCAGAGTACTTTCCGATAGGGGGACTAGCCACTCCTACCGAGGGGCTGTAGTACTCTGCCCCTCTCTAGCGCTACCACTAGTTTCTAACAACAGAACTTCTATTTCGATACTTTCTAATCCAATTCTAACCCTCTTAGACGCCTATATTGTCTTACCGTTTCTAGACGCTGTTATTTTTAGCTGCCCTCAGGAGCCTTCCCAATCTATTGTGGCTTTGCCATGTATACTATGCCAATAAATTGTTCAAACCTCAATTATTTCAAACATGTTTTAATATCAACCTGTAATGATATAATAAACTTATTTGGTAGCTAAATCCTGTTTCGAGGTATACGGTTTCAGGTTGAAACCATAGAGTTAAGAACTTTCTTAACTCTATGGTTGAAACACGAACCTTCAAGCTGTGCGACATGTTTGTTGTCAGATTCTCGAACACTGATTGGCCAATAAGGTTTGGAGGATTTAATTTCGTCCGCCAATCAAAGACTTCGACCCTATGCTAATGGCCCTTCGTTACAGGTGGAAAGACCATTCAAACTTCCTTAGGAATGGAATTCAACATGGCTGCATTGCCTAGATACAGTGTTCTTTCAATTAACTTAATGGAATCAAGCATCTTAAATCTCCTCCAGAAACTGCGGTGTGAATGAACTAGAATTTTGTGTGACAGTTTCACTACTCGGCTTTTTCCTGGCAGTCTATCTGGACCATATGTCCCCTCAGAGAAAAGCGTGAATTTGGAAGGCCATCTCTTTTGCTCTGGCTGCCTTGTAGTGACCTCATATCCAGTAATTAAATAAAAAGCGCATATTATTACAGAATAGGAGAGATATTGGATTTTATACTTACGATATGAGAAAAATTATGCCCCCTGAATGTTTAATTTTCCCCCCTTCTTACCTGCCCCCTATTCCTGCCCTGAAATATTTCCAACATCACGGTAAAGTAGGCCACAACACAACTCTTTGAACATTATTTTACCCAGGATTCTCTTTCTCAAAAAGAGGCCTTTCAATTCATTCCAAAAAATCACAAACACATTTGAAACATTAGATCAATTTATTTTTTTACTTTGGCTGCTTTATATTTCGGAAATAATGTGTATTTTCAAAAGCAAAAAAGTTCATTAGCAAAAGATGTCCCTGCGCCCCTGACTAAGCCCTTGAACAACTATTAAGGTGCCTCTAGGCCTCTTCTTGGCCCTATAAATCAGTGAATGACAGGTCCTGTTTTGTGCTAGTTACATGGGCTTAGCGGATGTTGATGTTTAAGGGAGCTTGTTTGGATCTTGCCTGAATTTTATGGCTTCATTGAGGTAGAGCTTCCCAAATGAAGCCTGAAACCTGCTACATTTTACCTGGTTTTGGGGCACCACTGTCTCAATGTCTCATATCTCCTATGCCAATGATAAGATGAAATGCTACGCAAGATCGTCCCTGATTAGCTATCTCATGTTAAGAACAGTGGTTTGAGTGTTTTTGCTATTAGCTTAAAGTCCTGCAAAAAGTGATACTATCAATGTCTTTGTGGTCTGATGAACAAAGATACTTAACTACTTTCTGGACAATTTGTTGACCACACTGGTTAAATCACCAGGATCAAAATGGAATGTGTTGTGGCACACAATCTAAAATAGACAGTGATTGGTTTAATTACGAAGCTGTGGCATCACTTTGTGCCAAAATATGCTCCAAAGATTCAAAGGACAAACTGCAATCAGAGCATATCTGACTTCAGGAAAGCTGTTTTATATTCAAGGTAAAACAGTATTTGTCAAATGTAATTCGATATCCAGTCAGTGTTCCCAATTCCTTCAAAATGCAAGTTAACTTTAACTGTTGGGCGTATCAGATTGCCTTCTTCAAAGTTGATGGGCTAAAGAGTTTTTTTATGACTAAATATGACATGCTTGACCCGATCAAATTAGAAATGTGCAACGGAAGAGAGTTAAAGCAAGGAATAAATTCTCATTAAACAAGAGCAAAAACATTAGCAAAGTAGAGAAAATTACGCTGGACAAGGAGTTCTCTTGAACAACACATCAGTCAATCTTGATAGAGAGAGAGAGCAGAAATTCACTGCTACTTGCCGTGTCATGAAATATAAGTAAAAAGAAACCTTAGTTAATTTGAAAACATATTGTCAAATATAAGTGTAAAGGACAGCTAAATAAATCTGAAAATCAAAGATTGAAGTCATTGCTTCATAAGTAGCCACCAAACCAGTACTGGGTGGTTGATTCTGGATAAGCAGTGCATCTGAAGTTCTTGTTTCGTGAATCATAAAACCCAAAATTGTCTTCACTCGTAGCTGCTCCTAGCTTTGCTCCAAACTCACAAGTATCGCCCGAAATGGAACTGTCAATGTGTAGAAAATATGTATTCAGCACTTGCCAAAACCTAGCGGTCTTCTGATAGGCTGCATGACCACGAATGTTGATGTATTCAACTTTCTTGCATATTCCATGCCCAAGATAGGACGTGATATCAATGGCCTTTAAGTTTGCTCTAACGTAATCGGTGAAGTCGACGCTATTACTCAATCTGTTATAACTGCATGTAGCCCTCCAGTGCGTTGAATGGGCCTTGATAGAAAGCATTTGAGCTTTTGAGAGCCTGTAAGCCACCCAATTTGGCGTTCTTTCGTTAACTGGCATATCCACAGAGAAGGGTGTGCTTCTGAAGGCAGCCATGTTGCTGTTTAATGAGGTCCATGAAACAGCCAGGGTCCATGCTGAGCCTGGTTCTGAAGTGAAGTCGCAATAGACATGAATAGATTCCCCGTTTGGTCCGGCAATAGAGTAGTATCCATTCGTTGTTGTCCCGTCTCTCAGGTAGTCAAGACAAGATCTTGGTATGGCTTTGACATGAACTGCTGGCTGACTTTCTGCCAATGCCGAATTGATTTGGCAAAGTTGGACAGCAAGAAAGAAGAAAATCAAAATTTGCATTTTCTGCAGTTTAAATTCTGATTTGTTAAGATGTAACAGAAGTTTTGAGCTTCACCTCAGCAGTGCTCTTTTTCAATACTGAAGGGAGAATATTAACAACTGAAAATATAATGATGCTTTTAATCTTTGGTAGTGCCAAGTCTAAGCATATTTTCATAGCAAGGTACTTGTGTCTGGACAAGATTTTTTGCTCGAGTAAATTTGTCTTCTAAAAATAGGTGGTAAACTAGTTCCTGCTAGCAAAACTAGCTCCTGCTAAATTTATCAACTTTCACCGAATCCCTCAAATGTTTTCAGAGATTTTTCAGTTGAACCCTTGTTATATGATGGTTTTATAATGGTTTTCTTTTTAACGGTATTCGAAAAAATATTGCTCAGGTAAATTTGGAATTTTTGTCCTTCCGCGACCCCCCAAAATTAGCCACTTATCTTCGTCCCTGAAATGAAAACAAAAGAAGCAATAATTACCACCTAGTTATGCCTGGTTACTCAGACAAAGAGTAACTCTAGGTGCCTATTGAAAAATGTCGATAAAACTTTTTGAAAAGGACAGAAAAACTTACGTGGATATTTATTCATATATGTAAACAAGCAAAAATCTTGGTTCAAAAACTTGTTTCAATTTAGCTATGATGTATGGAACAAAAGACGATGTAATTCGAAAGACACAAAACAACTCCTGAATTCCATTTAAAAATGGAACTAATGAAACCTAACAAAATTTTGTCTAAAAATAACAAACACAATATAAACGATTTGAAGAAAATAGCTGAAAAAAATTATGAAACATCTAGGCAATATTTTTGTTCAAGAACAAGAGAGCAAGGGAAATTTAGAGCACTTTGAACCTTTTCTTAAATTTCTTACAAATTTCTTTAGCTTTCTTACAGTTTCCTTCCTTCTTTCATTCCAAAGCTGCAGGTCCACATCAGTTATTAGCTGCCAAAAATTTAGTCTGCGTTGACAAATAAAAATTGCTTCCTTCCTTGTAGCTTCCGATTTTCATTTTCTTCGTGCTCCTTCCAAATGCTCAAACATTGAAATTTTGTTTCAAGCGGAAGCACTGCTCCTAGCCCCTATGTTTCCTACGCATCTAGTTAAATACAATTGTTCCTAAGATAGCTCCTGGAAAGGTATCTAATGTTAGTGAACATTGGGAACATTGGTTAGAGTGTTCTTGTCGTTAGTTTCAAGTCTTGCTAAGATTTTAGAGCTTCAAGTCTTGCTATTGATGAACAATAGTTCTTTTCTGCTCGATTTGTTGACGACACAGGTTAAATCACCAGAACCAAAATGGAATGTGTTGTGGCAGACAATCTAAAATAGACAGTGATTAATTGAAATTCGAAACTGTGGCACCACTTTGTGCCAAAATATGCTAAAAAGGTTAAAAGGAGGAACTGTATCCTGCACAGATTTGATTTGAGGAATTTGTGCGCGGTCCCTGAGTGTAATCCACAGAAAATTCAACTGTTAATGAAACTTCTATGAATCTTGATTTAATAGCCAAGATCTCAGCAATACAGAACTGTGCGCCCCTCAAATTTTTGTGTGGATCCGCCCATGTAAGTACAGACCCCGAAAAACTGAATTCATGGTAATTGACCATCCCCGAAGACATAGCAAACCGCCAGAGCTACCAACATTTTATATGGATGGTACTAGAACAAAACAGGTTCATAAAACGAAATATCCAGGACTTGCTGTAGATGATAAGCTAAGTTGAATGAACAATACAAATCAGTCAAAGGTAAACTAGCTAGCGGCCTATCATCGCTCAGGAAACTAAAAAACATTTACACAAACACAATCTCAACTGTATCAAGCACTTGTTGAAAGCTACTTTTGAGGCATAGCAACGTGGTATGGGGTCCCCTCTATGATACTAAGCTAAGCACTCTGCAAAAATATCAGAACAGAGCATTCGATTTGATATAGTCTGCGAGAGTAAACGATGCTTGGAATAAGAACTCCCTGGAAGTAAATCAACTGATGACCTTTGACCGAGCGGTAATGACCTACAAGCTTTGTCCTGAGGGCCTAAAATAAAGTTCATAAAAAGGTCTGTCATATCAAAATACAACACGAGGAACAACAAGTGTCTTCTGTACAAAGACTGAAATTAGAGCATACCAAACAAAGTTTCTTGTACGCAGGTCCAAAAGCTTGGAATTGTATCCCACAACTTATTAGAGGTACCGAATCCATTGTACGATTCAAACAAAAGTTTAAAAATCACCTTTTGAACTAACAGACACTAGATGCACGAATCCATGGAAGATCAGTTGTTAGGACAATTCTATTGATATTCTTAGGGCATGAATTTTTGATTTAGTTAGATAGAAATTGTAACCTTTCATTGTAGTTTACTTGTATAGAACTGAAATTATGCTGTGAATAAATATGTTTAAATAAATAAAGTGAATCTAGTCAACTACCAAACAGTTTAAACTTTTCCATTTAGATTCGCATACATGGCCACTTTTGCATTTCGTGATATTTATGGTACAGTTGTGTTTTGAGAGAATTTCTCGTCGAATTTCTGGTAGTCTACTTATTCAAAGTCCAACCCTATATAATTTAGCTGTTGTTTTATGTTGTGACTATGTTCTCCATCTGCGAGTGTTTTTTTTACTGTGTTTTTTAGTGTGTGTAGTTATGATCTTGCATTGGACTGTTCATTGAACTGCAAGGTTCTGGCGAGGTAGAAAATGAATTCCGTCGAGCTGGCACAATCACCTCGAGAGGCACCTGTGTCCGTCTTAAAGAACTCCCCAATATGATCATTGCATTTCACAGCCGGTTTTACATCCAGTAAGATTTTCATTAGATGGAGTTCGTCTTTGTTGATGACAGGTTTCAAGATCTTTAATCAGTGTTGTTCTGTTTATTGAGTCAAAGTGCTTCATTAGGTGAACTGTTTCATCTTTTGATCTTATTGTCGGTTATATGACTTTGTACCAAAGACATGTTCGGTGGTAATTCTCTCATTTCTGTATGTGAGCAGCTTGTGATGTGAGTAGGTATTCGATTTTGATGTCATCAATGCCGGGACCCTTGTTATAAGGGTTTGACGAGATCTGACAATTTAATTCCAGTTAATAAAATTTCGAATAGTGCAAGTTTGCATGAGTCATGGACAAAAAATTTGTGGCTGAGTCTTTCCAAAATGTTAACTTCGTTTGAATTAATTTTTAAAAGTGTGTCCATATTCTACAACGATCTGTTTCTCCAGCTGCAAAAATAAAAACGCTGAAAAATGAATGTTCTTCCACCAAATGGAAAATATAGGGAAACAGGGAGAATGGGCACCAGTTCACAAGAAAGAGGATAAAGACGTCTATGAAAATTACAGGCCGGTAACAGTTCTCAAGGAACTCAGCAAGCAAGCTATATATTCATTTGACGACAAACTAAGCCCGTGCTTGACAGCATGCAAGAAGCAAAACAGCAGAGAAACTACGCAGTTAAGGCTGATTGAGTGTTGGAAATTCGCCCTCGACAAATAGCTTGTATCCTTTGTCTTTTTCCGAAGGCTCGCTGAGATTAATAATATATTGCTTTGAAAAAAGACAGAACTGGGTCCAACTAGGAGACATTAGAAACAAATGGAAGGAAACAACAAGGAGCTGCCCACAAGGATCAGCATTTGGTCCCATGCTATGGAATATTTTTCAAAATGACGTGGTCTTCAAAATATAGCACTGTCAAATAAGCACGTATGCCGACGATCATCAGATCTATTATTCCGGAGAGAACGGTAATGAAGTTGAGATGTGCTTGAATTAAGAAAATAAGATTGCTCCACAATGGTACAAAGACAATGAACCGAAAGCAAACTAGAACAAATACCAAGGCGATGGTACTTCCAAATAACAATAAAAGCAAAATAAATGTAAAAGTAATGGCTGCTGAAAACAATGAAGCAAACAAGATGTCTCAAGCTATGCCTACAAACGAGAAACTAACAATCTTCAATTCTCTCTCACTTGACATACTGCAGTACAGTCTTGCACTTCTGCAAAGTATTAGATAAAAAAGATAGATAGACTCGAAGAAAAAGCCCTAGTGGGAGTTGTTTATTGTGGTAAGTCTACGTCATATGAACAACTCCTTATGAAAGCAAACCTGCAATCTCTCCAAAATAGACGTATTTAAGACATTGCCATATTAATGTAGAGAGTTGAAAGCGGCTTTGCTCCACACTATAAAAGAAATAAAAGATACTCCTTATGAATTAAGAAATAGCAACTATTTCGGGAACGCACTAAAAGAAGGATAGCATTCAATAAAATACTTTGGCTATAACCTTTGGACCAAATTAAAGAGAGCAACCAAAGAGGTGCAAACAATCAACAAATTCACAAAAGGAAAGAAAGAATGGATTTAGAAACTCTTTTAGACTGTAGACTGTAGTTTAATCGTACATAGAATTTCTATGTTTTAACAATTACATTGAAATTTCATATTTTATACTTTAATTTCACTTTATGTACATTTTTCGTTATGCCCCCAATTAACTTGTAAGCTAAATATTTTTGACACATTATAAAGATTTTGATTGATTGGTTGGTTGGTTGGTTGGTTGATTTATTTTTGGCATTTATTTAATTGCAAATCTAATTTGTGCGCTGTGAAAAACCTTGAATAAGAATCATGGTTTTTATTATAAAATACAATTCAAAAAATGAATGATTGAATGATTGATTGTCATTTTGGCATAGAATGCCCTGTATCTCAACGTATGGTTTGATAATTATATCTTTGAGTCAAAGAGCGTGTGTCCTTTTGTCTGGAGGATGAAGGCTAGAAATCATATCAATTTGAAAAGAAGAACAGTTTTTATTGTAGAGCCTATCAAGGTACATTTTACAAACGAATGAGTTATTTGTTTGGTGATGTTTTCAGGGCCGTCGCTAGAAAATTTTCATGGGGGGTGGGGGGAGAGGAAGGGGGGTTGCAAAACCAGTGGTTTGCCGAAAAATGGGTCTGGTAGCAGATATGGGCGTGGTTCTTGAACGATTATAACTATTATTGATAAAACTCGCAACTATTTATACTCAGGAATATCGAGATTGCAGATAATTTCAAAACGAAGGAAAATATCTATGTAACTGTTAAAATATATAGTTTTTATTGTTTACTGTTCAGCACTCAATTCTGCTATATTTCAGTTTTGCTCAACGTCATAATTGCAGGGTGGCTAGCAAACCAAAAGGTCTCGGTTCTGTTTGTGGCAGATACACTTTTTTTAGCCACACCAACTAATGCATGAAAAGGCTAAAATATGCTCAGTCCAAACAATTATTGACGGTTCTGGTTCTCTATGTAAATCAAGGATTCTATGTATGCAGCCGAACTCTCCACAATAACAGCAAAACAATGGTTCAATTTGTAACTTCCAGAAACTCTGATAACAGTTCAAAATAATAATCCTAGTCTAACACTTTTTGCAATATTTTCAAGCTAACCTAATATATATAATATTCTGAATTTGAGCCAAGAAAATAATAAAAATTTCAACCTGCATGTTCTTTTCCTTTATGTGCCATCTTTTCATTTCCACTTGTCCTACAGTTTCATTTTGTGATAAATAGTTACTGTTATGAAAATTATATGTAAATATTTATCTTCTGTTATTTAATCATCTTAAATTTAGCAATATGTAAAAAATTGTTGTAAAATAAACTATTTGAATTTGAATTTTCCTTTTGTGTAGGCTCAATGCCCCCCTCAATTTTTTACGACCTGTGCGCGCCTCAGACCGAGGCATGGAAAATTCAATTCAACACCTGATTATACCATTTAGGTCTGGTGCAAGATGGAGTCGCTGGATTACACCCCTTGTTGCTCTCTAGAAGTCCATAGAAGTGTGGAAGATGTTTGCAATTCACCAACTCTTGTGTCACAGATAGGAAAAAACAGTCATTCGAAATTTTGTGTTGTAGTTGTGACTGGGAACCCTGGAATGATAGAGTTCTATGAAGTGTTTATGTTACAGCTACACAAAGCTTCAAAATGCCATTTGGAGGTAGTGGGAATCTCCCAAGCTGGTGAGTATCTAAACGATTAAATTGATTATATATCCGTTGTATTCCATTTTTGTCAATCTTTGTGCAATGTCTCTCACTCTTGTAATGACTTTTTCTGCTGAGTATCCCTCCACCAACCTGGACAATTTCATTTGTAGTCATTTCTCTGCTGGATGACTAGGCCTATAATAATATAGGCTTTATTTTAGAGGGATTGCTAGTTTGCGGTCTTTGTAGAACAAAGTTAGTCTTGGAAGACAATTTATTTAAGAGGTATTATAAACAAATTTGGGCTTATGAATAGGATTTCTGGTACTACAAAATGCTATTTCTTACAACTTGCTTCTAACCATATTATTGCATGTTATTACAAACAGTATTATTGCATGTGATATTCAACATAAAATTCTGGAATAACTTTAAACAATTTTTGGCATTCTCTTTCTATTAACTGCAACTTTATTGCCCTTATCATTATATACTTAGTAACAATGCACTAAAAGGGTTTAACAGTTTCTGAATATGCCACTAAACATTAAGCTCTCAAATCTGTTGGTTTAGCAAATTACGATGCTATCTTCTTTATCCATTTCCAGTAAACCGCTCCAATATTTGGATAAACATAACTATACCAGTGCTCCAAAAAATTAAGTTGCATTTTATCATAGACCTGTGTTAGCATGCATATGTTTCTAAAATACCATTTTTGAATGGTAAATTAAGTTGAATTTTTAAACAAAAGGCTTCATGTTTAGACAAGATTTGTTCTATATTTTTTCTGATCTACACTCAACAAATTTGGCGTCTTCAGCAAGAAAAGTAAAGGAATCACAAAGGAGCTCATCATATTTCTGAAATGGGGTAACAATGACATTTTAGGCTATACTATATAAGCCCACAACAATAAGCAATATGTAACAAAGATTTGGTGCAAGTTGTGTGCAAAATATCAGATATTAAGGCATCTATCATTCTAAAAAGTTACAGTTTTTATGTGAAAGCCTTTGTCTATGGCACATGCTGTGCTGGAAAGCTCGCTTTCTGTACGCTACTGGTTTTATGCCAGTGATTTCATTATCAAGTTCTTACCGCCAGCTGGGATAAGCGAAGCGCAAGGCAATGCTAAACAACCCTCCCCAGAAGGACTTACGCAATATGGCATATTTGTCTGATAAGATGTCCAGTTTTTCCACAAATTATTCAACATTTTATCATTTTCATATGAAAATGGAAAAACTTTGAGAATGGAATAATTTGGAAAACGGCAGGTTGTGACAAAGACATCAAATTTTCAAAAATTACACTTGGAAATAGAACGGTAGTGCCCTGGATTAAAAAAGAGAGGTAAATCTGCAATAGAATTGTTCTGTTTTAAGTGTTTGCACTGAAATGTTTTGTGATGTTTTCAAGTCATACCATTTTCGAATCATGCCGTTTTGGAATCATGCCCTTTTCAAATTGTGCCGTTTTCAAATCATGCCATTTTCAAATCGTGCCCAGTCCTTTTTGTGAGCAAAATTACGCGTGTGTGGCAAATCGCACATGTAAACAAATTTGCGCGTGCGATCGCACTTGTAAGAAAATTTGAAGTACAAACCTGATAAAATTGGTAAAAGGAAAAAGCCACTCGAATACGTGCAAGAGCAAAACTCAATTAATCAATACATAACAGATTTTGTTGCCCTTAGCAGCCATCTTTTAAAAGTCGTCGTAACTCTCCAAAGTTACAAGAGCAAGTAAAAATTGTTTCCAACAGCTACTTGCTTTCAGGGCCTAATTACGTTTTGACAGGAAATCAGTTATTACACTTAACATGCTAATGGCGACTTAGCTGAAAGACGAGACGCTAAGTTGAATGGAGCACTCAGTCAAAAGCCAAACATCACTTCCGAAAATTGGAAAAATCATATTGTGGTCAAAAGTGCGAATCAAGTAACAAGGGAAAGGATAAACAATCATGAGACCATGGGAAATTGATGTTAAAGGGCCTCTCCAGCAAAAAAAAATTTTTTTTTAATGACTTAAAAGTTAGCATCTGGTGCGTGTATTATGACAAAGTCATTGTTTTTGAAAAATTCCAATTAGTTTAGAAGTTGTAAGGCTTTAAAGTTGCACCTTTCCGAGAAAAAAAACGACAAAAGCCGAATCAGTTTGGTGACATTCTGACGTCACAATGTGCGGCTCTCGTTCGCCATGAATTTCGTATATCTTCCACCGAAGCGTGAAGGAGTCATGGTCACGCGTTGATAACTGCATCCAGCTCCAGTTCCTGTTCCAGCTCTTCCCTCGCGTATAATTAATCGAAATTGTCACTTCAGTTGTTCTCCAGAAACGATGAACAACTAAAGGCTTCAGAATTGGTGTCTGAAATGCTCAAACTAAAAGCTGGCGGAACAGAACTGAAAGTACCATCACTTGCAGTGTTCAATTTGCGAATCGCCGTCGTTCGATTCGGTTTGAGGCGAGACTATCCGAAATACACTGTGACGTCAAAATTGCGTCACAGTGTCACCAAACGAAAAATTTTTGTCGGTTAATTCAATTAAATTATCGAAATGCAAGAGCTTATATCTCATAAACTGTAAAAAAATATCGAAAAAACAAATAACGAATTCGTGATCAGCAGGCTCAACTTCTTTATAAAAATTGCCAATAAAATGCAAGTGCAAAATTTGGCTGGAGAGGCCCTTTAACAAAAATCTGCAAAAACACCTGTTTGCGCGTGTGGTCAAAAGCACGCGCAATTTAACTTGTGCGTGTGCAGGCGTGTGCGGGTGCGATCGCACGCGCTAAACGAAAAGGACTGCGTGCCATTTTCAAATTGTGTCATTTTGAAATCGTGCTGTTTTCATATCCTATTTGATGAGACACTATTGAAAGTGGTCTTTTTATATAAACATTTTCCAAGGGTCTCATGAAGACTGCCACCATGGTTGGTAGCAAGAGGGATTGCCAGGAACTGCATCTAAAATATTTTCAGCATCAAATTTAGTTAGAATCCCTGGTAATCTTCATAAACTTTTTTTTATCGTTATGCCACCAGAGATATTTATTGCTAAAGTTCTGTGAAAACTGGAAAGATGACTTTGGAATGGGGGTTTTTGAAGGCTCCATATTCTATGTAATTAAACCTTTGTAGAAATAAGACAAAACACAAATAGCACTCCCTCACATGCCTTAAACAGTCTAGGGCTGCAAAATGCCACACTTGTGCTAATTTATTCCCTGGAAGGCCTGTTTATCCATAATTGGTGGCTGCTTGATAATAAGCTTTTTCTTGCACTGGGTTATTCCACTTGTTCCTGTGTTGTTACTGGGTTGTTCCACTTGTTACTAGATTGTTTTATGGTTGTTCTGCTTTTTACTGGGTTGTTCCACTTGTCTCACGTTTTAGAATCGGCATGTTTAGGGTTGAAATATGAAAACTCAACATATTTTGAATGAAAGGTAATAAACTTTGAATTCAACAATGCTTTGAATATCTGTGAAACTGTTATCCAGGTATTCATTGGAAACCATCCAATTATCTGATAGCATGTGACCTCATTCTACATAGAAACTGGAAATGCAGCTAAAATGCAACCAGTAACCATCTTTTTTGAAGCAAATTATTTGAACCTACAAAACTAATTTTTTTTCGAGGCAGGGATTTTTCAAAGAAATTTTAAAAATCTGATAATTTGAAATTAATGTTTTGTCAGGTCCAGCTAGAAATACCATGTAATATAAAGTTTTTAAATATTTTTACTGGAAGTTATGGGTTTGATTAAATCATTAAGAACAAAAACTGAAAATTGAACAGTTTTTTTGCTTTGTTGTAGCAGTTAGAATGCATTTTTTGAATCAACATTCATTGCTCTTTGACAACCTTGTCCTGGTTGTGCCCCTCACTAACTCATGTTTACTCTAAGTTTATTTTCCCAAACCCTTTCCTGCTATCACCAGCATTTAAATAAACTGAACTATTTAACTGAATTAGCATGTGATTTGAGTAATTTGAGTGATGATGTCACCATCATATACATCAAAATGGAAAACCTTGTCAATACCAGGGTTAGTTTGTGTAGATATATTTAGACAAAATCCTCACTCTTTTGGGAAAAGGAATCCAGTGCCATATACAACAAACACAACTTGTATTTCTTGGAACAGTGCTATATAAGAAATAATATTAGTCAAATTCATGTCATATCTGATGTGAGCAATGAATTTTTTGAATAGCTTCATGTCCACTCAACTGAAGTTGGACACCTGATTTGGAGAAGTTCACAGGGATCTCTGCAAATGATAATGAACAAAGGGAAGTTTCTGCTGCTATTGCATCATATAGATTAAAACCTAATGTCTTATCGGTTAAAACCTAAAAGGTATCTTAGAAGTAATTTGAAAACAAAGCAAGATAACTACAAATTCTCAGCAACAGTTGAGGCATGCGCTAATTGTATACAAGCCACATTTGGCAGATTGTGGAAGATTAGTATCTGCCTACAGTAATTTTAAGTCGAGATTAAGAACCTTCCCCAATCTCTCAACAATTAGCAATTACGTATATATTAATATTGATATGCCTGTTTTAGCTTCCTTTGATCAATGATGCTGATCCAGCGATGATTTTATAGCAGAGAAAAAGGAGAATAAGAAATACCCTGAAATCTGATAGATAGAAATGGTATGAAAAGGTCTTCTAGAACAGAAAAAAGTCAAAGAAAGGTAGACAACAAAAACAAAACTGTAGAGAAAGCGTGTTTGAATCTTTGCAGCTATGTTCTGTTATGCCCAAGTTCCTTTTTTTAATTGCCTGCTTTGCTTTTAATGATATTTGGTGCTATGTCCTTCTGTTTCTTTACTTCCTTCTTCCTATATATTTTCAAGGAAATTGCTACAGCTAATTTATCACAAAATTTTTCATTTATCACTCAAATTACTGATTCTTTAAACAGTCTTTTGGTGGTACAATTTTGAAAATGGCTTTGAAAAAAGCAAACATTTTAGTAAACTAAAGCTTTTCGTCTGACACTCTTCAGACTTTAAAACGTCAGAACATAGACCGAAAACTCTAAGCTAGGAAATATTTAATTAACTAGTAAACCATTCGAAACGTTGTTAATTTTCGTTCTATAAACATATGTAATTTGTTCTGAGTTCTACAAAAAGTCTTAAAAATGGATACCGTATCAGCTTTTGTGCTAGTTCTCTATAGATAATATCTCTTGACGTCAAGTTCAAGAATAAAAATTACTCTTTGGCCCACTATGGCCTTGACTGTCTGTTGAATCATGTCGATACTATCTACTCTGAAAAATGTTATCTTGTTCTCATAGAAGCCGTTGATATATCGTGCCTTTAGCACGAACATTTATTTACATTCTTTGGCTACATTTATTGTCAGTGCACAATGTTGTGGATATTGCTCTCGTCAAATATCGGTTTTGTTTATCCCATGTTATCGATTTTGATAAATCGCAATCTTGTATGATGTTTTGTTTTCACCGCATGGTTTCCTTAGAAGTTATATAGTTGCGTAACATTGTTTTATATGGTTAAAAACATGGTAAAGATTCAATGTGTCTTACAGTGTTTACTGACAACACAACTTTTTAATTTTGTTCGACAGACTTAAAGAAAAGCTAAAAAATATTAGTTTTAGCGACTCGGATTTCCAAACTGCTTTTACAATACTTTGAATGTCGTAATTTATTTCTATATTCATTTCGACTTTTAAAGCCCTCCATTTGGACCACTAATCGTAAAAAATTCACCGACTTATGACCATTTTTATGTTACAATTTTTGCTATCAAATGATACCCAAGCAGAGCTTCGAATGTTCCATCTTAGTTTCTAAACATCCCCCTTTTGACTGTATACGGAACTGTGAATACCACCCCGGTTTGATGTGAAATAAGATTTTTACAGCCGTTGCTTTATACCTCATCTATACGTATTCACTTCAATATTTTGGTTTGCACGCGCGTGCTGTGACCGAGCGTACGAATGCGTATTTTTGGATCGCTTTGGTAAAAAGAACCTACTTCAAAGTTACTTCGCGCGAACAAACTGTGAGGAGCCAATCAGATTAGTAGACTGCAAAGCAAGCAAAAGTACTGAAGTGGATGCCTTATCTGCGGCGAAAAACTCATTTTGGCGAATAAACGACTCTTGCTTCGTTTAGACGGAAATTTCGTGAGCAATCTAGTAAACAGGGTAACCGGTTTTTTCTTTTGATATGTGATCCTAGTGAATATTTGACTCAAAATCCGTCATGGGCCCTAAAATTAGGGGGCTGGTGATAAAATGAGGGTCACGTCATCAATCATTTAATTGTTTCTCGTCATCGAAAAACTTTTTTAATCTAATCTTAAAACCAATGGTATTGTTCGAAAAAACATTAAAAAATGAACAAAAGATGACAAGAAACCTATGTTGTAAAACAAACCTGTCAAAAGATATGACCTCTTAAATTATTGCGAAAATGACATCATCAAATAAGTACAAAATCTTAAAATGGCCCCCTTTCTAATTTTTAGACGGGGGTACTTTGCCCCAGACCTTAATAGACGGTATTATCGTACTTCAGTCGTACTTTGGTACAACCATATGAAACTTTGCAAAAAATGACTGTTTCATGCGCTAAAAAAGATTGGATATGGAACCTGACCCCCTCTTCGGTTATTCTAACTGCAGTTCCAAAAGCGACCTCCATTTTGCTTAGTGTACTAAACGTCAACTGCTTCCGTGTTTGCAAACTTTGTGAAAATGGGATATCAAACCTAAATTTTAAGACGGTTCCGCAAGAAAAAACTCAACATCTATAATTGAAATCAGCCAATTTGCTTATTAAAAGTGCGCCTTTATCTAAACTTGGCAAATTTCATTTCATAGGCACTTTGAAAAGGTGTTGACTTAGGCAGCCTTTCCACTTACCTGGATTAAAACAAAAACGGTTTAAAATGTATCCGTTTTTAAAGTGAGTCAAAGGAAACGCCAGTTTGCTCAAAAAGCTCATTCTGATCCGTTTTTTATCATTTTAACTAAGCTGGGTTTAAATGTACCCGGGCTTTTAAATGTATCCCTAGCCCTCAAAACTTCAGATAAATCAGATTTAGGTTATTTTAAACAGAAACCAGAGCACGCAGAGCTGTAAGAGTTATCAGTATTTACAATTATAGTCCTAGAATTGTTTGTATAACACTGTTGTTGTTGTTGTTGTTGTTTTTGTTATTGTGTTGTGTTGTTGTAAGTGGATCAAAAGTTACCCGGTTTGGTATTCCAACTAGCCGCCAGCGGGATACCCGGGTAAAGCTGCTTGATGCACGCACCTGATCTCTTTCCAGACCATACCAGAGTTTCGCATTTCGAGAAGGAAAGGTCTTTTTGGTCATGGAACGTTTTTCGTAGCGGTATCCTGAGATCAGTTTCTGATGAGCGTAGAAACCGTTCTCTATCATCCGATTATGTTATGAATAATTTTTTCAAGTAAATTCTAATTCGTAGAATTCATACAAGCGATTTCAAAGATTTGTAAGCTAGCGTGGCTGTTTCTTTTCTTACAAGGTTACCGTTGGTAAGCCAAGTTTCTGAAATTTTTTGGCTTCGCCCCTGTACTCCTTAAAGAATTTCCCTATACACGTTTGAGAATTAAAAGCAATATAATATAAAGATTGTTATGCCGTTTTCTAATGAAATGAAAGACAAAGCGACTGAATTTTTTGCCTTATTTTGCAGGTCATTCCCCAGTCTGGAAGTATGCGAAAGATGATTCGGCGCAAAGTTATAAAAAGGCGGATTGCAAAAATCTGAAGTATCAAATCGAGCATAAAATAGCTTTTGTTGATGAATACGTACCTAAGGATAAACAACTAATACTTATAGGACATTCTATCGGTGCCTATATTGTTTTAAAGATGCTCGAGAATCGCAGAATCGAACAACGGGCCTGTAAAACAGTTCTTCTATTCCCAACAATCGAGAATTTGAAGTACACGCCAAATGGAAATTTCTGGGACCCGGTGTCTTTCTACTTTCGCCATCCATTTGCACTGACCGCTTGGTTATTGTCCTTCACGCCGCTTTGGATGCGTAAAATGTTAGTTGATTGGCGGACAAGCTGGAAAGGACGGGATACGCACCCGCAGTTGGTTGACGCATTCATGCAATGCGTGAGCTACACGCTCATGAATAACGCCCTTTACATGGCTGCAAGTGAGATGAAGCACGTGAACGAGGTCGATGAGAACATGGCGCAGATTATCGATCGCAATATCAATAAAATTACCTTCTATTATGGTGTAGATGACAAGTGGGCACCAGTGCATTTCTACGATTCAATGAAGAAAAGGTTTCCAAATGGAGACATTCGTTTGTGCGAGCATGGCTTTGAACACGACTTTGTCGTAGACAGTTCCGAAGACGTCGCGGGACTGGTCTGGGATATGATCTCTCATTTGAACAACAAGTAAGTTAATTTCCCTTATAGTTTTCCCAATGATTCGCAGTAATTCTGAAATTTTCTAAGAGTTTTTATAAAAAATATGTTTTTAGCTTCTTTTTAACTCACATGTTGTACCTAATTATTGTGTCACAAAATTAAAAGAGAAGTTTCCGTATCATTGTTATAAATAAGTCTACCTAAGAAGTCTGTTACCAGCTTCTTCCACAAAACAGTGAAATCAGGAATAAAGAACGTGCATTTCCTAATTGTTAGCTTTGACCGTCTTTATCGTGGCTTTCCCTTACAACCAATTGAATACAACTCTAAAATCAAAGCCACTCCTGATTGGTCACTTGATCGGACCCTTGACAACAGGGTAGCAACCTACTGAGAATGAATGTGGACAGCCTGGATCTCTCTGCGTAATTTTCTGTACCAGCGTTGTCCAGTTACTCAATTTTAGCCACAGCACTTATTTTCTAAACGAATTGTAGACTCTCTTTCTCAAATTCCGAAGATAGGGGTTGTAAAACTAGGTAGTGTTTCTCTGGGTTTTGCTTAGAAATGTTTTTAATCTGAAAACATTTTATATCCGAGAAATACTCAGAATTTAATAAGAAAACTCCTTTTTCCCTTTATCCGTAATCCGACTTCTTGTTTATCATAATTCATTCAAAGTAGCTTCATTATAATTTATGATTTACCCGACCAAACACTAAACTTCAAACCAGACGATGCTAAGGGGCCCACCCTCCCCCCCCCTTGTCCCTTCCCGACGACGTCTATGTTTAGAATCAAACAGCCATTATTGTAAACCTAAGACAAATTTATACTCGGGTGTCTTTGGAAGCCATAATTTTGTTAGTTTAATCAGTGTTTTTTAGCAAATACAGCGATCAGGAAACTCTTAACCACTCACAAATTTTTTGCGTCATTCATATTCCACTGACTCCATAGGCCAGTCTGTAAGAAGCTCGTTGTGGTCTTGTTATGTAAGTAATCCAACCTTCTCCTAATTAATCATTTCCCAAATAGCTTTCCTCCTTGCATCATAATCGAGATTCAATTGAGTGGCATTCATATCTCTTCCTATGGTTTCCAATGCCTGCCAGAAGAATTTGAAAAACAACCTGACGATGATGAGATAGGAAACCACAATTAAGTTTACAGAATAGATTTTAATGCAAAGCATAGAATAATTTAATACACTTAATAAGCTAGTTTGTATAAAAAGGCCTAAGCTATTATACAAAATTCCAGTGCCTGGGCTTTTTCAGTGCCTGGTATCTGTACCTTCCCAAAGTTGACAGACTTTTAGAATGTTTAGTCACCTATTGTTTCCCAAAAAGTCTAGAAGAAGGTTGGTCGTTACGTTGAGTGCAAGTTCAAAAAAAAAGCTTTTTTAAATTTCCCTTTTAAAGCCCGTTTCCCAAGCCTATTTTGCGATTTTAATAGCAGACCAATTATCTGTTATCCATTGAAGGATAATTGGAGAAAAGTGAAAATAGTCGTTGTGTTCAAAGTTGCTCAATGTCTAGATACGGGCATGATCAAGGTGTCTCGTCATTAAATTCATCTTACTTACGTCGCTGGCAATAAACATTTTCATGAACAAAACAACAAACGATATGCGTTTCGAATGAATGTGTGATTTATAAATTAGATTATTAAAATACTGTCTCTGATTTCAGTTATCTAATCGAACAAAATAGATTAGTAGAAGCCTAAAAAGGTTAGCGAGCCAGAAGCTTCCTTTTCAGAATATAATTTTCCTTTCTTGGTTTGCATTTCTTTATGGCGCTTCTTTATTTCTAGATGGTTGTTTTTATTTCTGAGGGCATTCATTTTGCCACGTTTCGTTTGATCGTGTTCGTGCAGGATTTTGACGTAGTTTATAATCAGTGGCGGTTTTTAAGGGGGGTCCAGGGGGCCATGGCCCTAGGCCCCTCGCTTATGGTAGCCAAAGGGGCCCCACACCAAAGAAAAAATATAGGAATTGTGAAGAACAAGGGCCCCGCAGTCCCTAAAACCGCCACTGTTTAAAATCTTTAGACCCTAGTTTTCCTCGAATGAGACAGTGACCATGAATATAATTTTCACCGTTATTATGGGAAGGTAAGATAACTTTACCTTTGACCATTGTTATATTTCACTACGCAAAGTTCCAACCAAATATGTTCATTAAGTATAAGTTGTAGATATTGTCGTTGCTAAGATAAGGACATTATCAGGATTTTATCAAATGCTTTTAGGAGGGAGTAATTGGATATATTATATTGTGTTGACTTTACATAATTGTGTCTGGTTTTAGTTTTTGTATAGAAAAAGTAGACCACCGTGAAACTGAAACCAACAGATCAATAGTGACCAAAAAAGAATGTTGTTAGTCGCATGCAATTGAGTTTGGTTGGCTGCATTGTTGGAATCACTCGAGGTCTTCAACCCGATTACACCCAAGAGCGTCGAGAGGAGAGGCAAAGGATCTGGGCCGGTGCTCCCATAGGGCCCTTTTGCCAATGCGGCCTGTATTCGATAAGGCCTATGATTATCTTAAACCGTGCTGCTACCATATTGTTACAAGATCTATTTACGACACAAAAAGCTAATACTTTCAGCAACTTATATGGAATGACCCCTGTAAGTGAATCACAGAGAAAAGCGATGACAAAATGTCCTTCATGCATAATAACAATGTTTTTGTACAATCATGTTAAAATTCTTAAAAACCTTTTAAACAATTGTGCCCAATTGGGGCGATTTCCTAGTTTTTGAGGAGACCGAGAAGGGTGTTGCAACAGAAAAGTTTCTTAGGCCCGAGCAGGCTCGCGATGGACCTAATTGCACCAGTTGCATTTATCCTGCTATTCGCTCGGGGCTGAAGCCTGACGTCCTGAGAAGGTTTTCTCTCAAGAAGTTATTTTCCTGTTTGGTGTTTACACCACATTTTTAAAGTCGGTTAAACTAGCAGAGTGTAGACAGGGATTTTACCAGTATAAATTCTACTTCAAAATTGTTGTTTTAATCATTGGTAGACTACTTAATCATAGGCTATTTAGTCGAGCCTTGAACACAGTTCAGTATTTATATGAATTTTAAAGTTTTACTTAGTAATTTCTGACGGATTTAGTTATACCGTCGAGAAATAAGTTTCGATTTTTATAATACGGCAGAATCTTTAGAATTGTGGCAGAATTGTGTAACTTCATATCGTGTATAAGTTCCTTATGTTTGTGATTTTGCAGTTTATGGATATTAAGCTTTGTATACGTTACCAGTCTGTAGCAGACATCCATGTTTTTAAAGATAGATTTTTGAAAGACATTTTAAAACAATTTAGCACGTACTTGTCGTTTTGTTTTGTGCATTGATCTCCAGTAAGAATGATGAGTCTTTTGCAAGGATCGAAAATCATTGATACAACAAACTCCCGATAACTCGATCCCCCGGTAATTCGAAAATTCGCTAAGTCGGACAAATATTGCATTTTCTTTGCCCAGTACATTCATACACAAATTCCCTCAAAAATTAAAAAATTCGCCTTTTCGAACAAGTATTGCATTCCCCTTGCCCAATACATTCATATAAAAATGCCCCCGATAACTCGAACATTCGCTATGTCGAACCATCTCATTGATCCGCTAGAGGCTCTAGTTATCAGGAGTTTACTGTGTGGAGTTTAGCACACAAATGATGGTTTTGTGCATTTCATGATAAAAGCAAAGATCACTGATAATAGGAGAAGCAGGAGATAGGAAAGAATATAGAAGATCAGAAAATGGGTATAGAGCCTGTACCCCAGTGGCGTAACGCAGTTTAAGGTACCTTAGCTCGATATCTAAGGGCCCCGGACGAAAAGGGCCGCCAATTTACTTTTATATCCATGTCTTTAAGACTTCTCTCAAGTTAACCTCATTTCCCAAAAAACCTTCAAAGTACTTCGGATGAAGCCTTTATAAGTCAGCTCCCCCTACCTAAAGAGACAATATTCTCATTTTTCCATCTCGCTACTTTACTTGCAAGCGTTGATGGGACTTTCTTGCAGTTAATAAGGGGTCCCGTCGTTTTTCTGTAGGGCCCCAGATGCTCCATTACGCCACTGCTGTACCCCAACATTTTTGTAACGTCATTTGAGAGGAAAGCAAGAAAATGCAATTGCAAAACCGGATTCCTCGTCCATGGTCCATACTATGCTGCTGGAATTCTGTTACGAAACTTTGAATACAGGAAAGCAGAAAAAACGCAGCTGTTGATAGGAAACATCATTTGTGTCAGTCTGGCACTTGTCTTGTCACCCTGCCCCATTTCCTGGTTTAAAGTCCATCTGTTTCGCGAAGAAGCGAAACCAGTGCGAGGCTTTGTCTGCTAAAACTGAATCATGGCTGCCGTGCTGCTGGCGCTTGGAGTTCTTGCTTTTGTCATTCTCGTCGCTGCCTACGTATGCTGGAAGAGATGGATTGGAAAGTTGAAGCAGTTTAAATCACCTCCGATGCACGTCTTCTTTGGTCACTCACTCTTCTTCCCTAGTGACCCATCTGGTAAGTTGTAATTTCCCTGCCACAAGAGAGTTGTTGATAGAAAACATCAGTCGGTCTTTGCAAGGTTACGTGTTTCTTTGAAAATCAATATGTAAATGAAATAAAATCATTTTTTTCAAACATACATTTACGTTACATTACATTACAAAAATCGTCGGGGCCTCGTCCTCCAACAAGCAGGCTGGATTTGGACTTTGACCTTCCGCTCTATGTTTCGTTGCACAAAAGCTACCTGAAGAATAGTCAGGATACACTCATTTTTTTACAAGAAACTGGCTATAAGAAACGAGTACTGGACAGTCAGAAAAAATTAAGAAACTTCAGTACTCAAAGCAAAAAAATTAAGAAACTATTAAATCGTGATAAAACTGAGAACAGCGAAATTTTGTAAAATCCAAGAACAAGATTGCCCTTGGCCTAGAACTTAAGACACAAGGGATACAAATATACTTCCCACAAAAGAAATGAGTGTATATTGTATCGTTATGTTTGTAATCCATTTTGTATTCAATTTAGAGGTGAATGCTTTAAGAGTTTGACTTGACATACAAATATTTCAGAAGTTTTTGAAGACAGAAGCTTTAAAAAGTAAAGGTATTTTGATTTCAAATCTGAAGCCACCCCTAGGCCTGACTGCATTCTTTGTCAATTTTTTTATCACAATAAAAACAAATACAAAAAAATGAAATTGATCATTGTTGAGATGGAGGCAAAAAACATAATGTTATTGAGTTGCCTCCACACCAAACATTACAAACATTCCAGAACTTTTCCTAATACACTATAAATACACAATACAGAACAACACAGCATGATATAGCACAATACAATACAATACAATACAATGCAATACAATACAGTACAAATACAATACAAATACAGTACAAATACAGTACAAATACAGTACAAACACATGGGTCATTCCTTGTCAATTCAACATGGTCTTGACACCCACCAGCTCAGATTTTCTTCATTTTCATTTTGCAAATACTGTACAAAATGCATTTTTTGTCATGTGGGGAGAATGTATTCTCTGCACAATCTTTGCAAACCTGTGTAATTTATATAATCCAGAATTTATGTTCTTGCTGCAAAAAAACTCAAAATGCAGCCTGAGAAAATTAAAAGTAAGCATTTACTTTGCATCAAAAAATATGGAAACAATGCCTAAAATGGCAGCTCTCAGAAACCAAGTGCCTAAGCTAACAAGTTTTCAAAACCGAGGTTCGGGGCTATGGGGTTTTGGTGACAAGAGCCTCCAGTAGGAAAACATTATTCCAATTTCAATGGCATTTGCATGAAGTAAATTTGAAAGATTATTTTACTGCTTTGTTTTAAAAAATTAGGGAAACATTGATTCAGTACTTCATAATTATCTGAAGAACGTTATTAAAGGATTCATTAGAAAATTTCATAAAATACCTAGGCCAAACTTATAAAGCTAAATCAATTAAAACTGAACCTTTATACATTCACCTTTGTTCTGACTATAAATATATTACTGATATAATCATTTTCACTGAGGTATAAGGTTTGAGGTGATAAATGACGATGTCAGGTGAATTCTAAGGCTACTGTTTAGTGATCAAGATAGTTAGCTTGTTCAACAACATAAAATGTTTCAATGTAGATATTCTACCATTAATTTCTAAGGCATAATGAACATAAAACTTTTTGCTTTCATTTTTGATATTGTGATGTGCTTCTATAATCAGGCACCTCAAAGCGTTGAGAAAAGTGCGGGTTCTAAAATTGTGGGGAGGCTAATACCGAATAAAAAGATGCTTTTCTGATGGTTCTTCTATCAATATTATACATTTTTGGAAAAAGGATATAGGAGTGTGGTTAAAGCCTCCCCAGCACCCCTGCTTGGTGGTGCCTAATAACGAGCAAATAAATGATGAGCAGAATTGCAGATAAAACAGTCACTAAAATCAAAGAATAACTCACCTTTTGTCAGAATTGAAACTTTAAGAGTCAATTGTACTGCCACAATGATCTTCTAAGTTATAATTCTATCTACTTAGTTATAAAAAAACTTGAAGCGTTTTCATCAATTTTAAATAAGTTTTCAATTTTTCTTCAAAAAAGCAACACTTCATGATCATCTCTCATGATTACTTAGACAGTACCTGAAAAAATTGTTTCGAAGCAGTGCTTCAAAGTTTTGCTCAAATTTTCCCCTAAAGTGGCAAACCAATCCTTAAATTATATTTTATATCTTAAATTCAAAGGAATGGTGAATGCATTTTCCTTCCATAAACAATCAAATTCAAGCACTTCCCCTCAAATCTGTTTTTGAATTTGGTTAGCTAACGCAATTTTGAGCCACAGTTTCCATACTATTGCAACCCTAGTGTATGTCTATAAGATTGCTTTTTGAAGTGACAGGGTCCTGTATAAGCAAGTATTTAATTTCTCTTTCAAAGGGCAACACCTAATCCAGTCCCAGAAAAAGTAATACAAACCAATCCCAACCCTGCACAGGTGTCAAGATTTTTCCCCTGTATGTGCTAGATCTATTGCTCTACTGTTGTCTATGTTGTACTTTCTATTGTTTCTTGCTTCTCAAATAAGCGAGACTCATGCAAAATTCATGGGACTTGGTAGGCCTGACCCAGTTTCGAAAGATGCACACCCAATATATTTGTTGGAGTGGTTTTGCACACAGAACAAAATGTATGTCTCTAACAGATTGAGCATGACTGGAAATAGAATGAAGTATACAGGCTTTTGTGGGAAAAATATAGCACGGCTAACCACCGCATGCCTAAAAACATCCAGGCGTGTGGAGCCGTGTGGTTGCGTGTGAATTTTTTTAGCAACAATTTATGGTTATCGTAATAGATTTACGCAGAAATTGCCAACACGACAATGATGACACCAATAATGTTGATGAAATTCACTTCGCTGAATTCTTAGCATCACTAAATACATTTTAACAAAAATGTGTTTTTTCTGAAGATTTGAGCAAGCTTTTAAACAAGTATAAACTGAACGTATTCGATATATCAGCAAAAAACGGCACTACAGATACATAAAAATGTTTGCCATGTAATAAGCAGTTTTCATCAGCTTCGATAATAGAGTCATTGGGGGCGTGCTGTTATCTGGTTGTAATGAACGTTTTCATTAAATCCAATGTCGCCAAAATCTAAATTTAAAGCATAACGAAGTCTAAAAAGGGGGCTATATTGGGGTAGCAAAATCCGAATATCTGCTACTTTTTATCGTATAATTGGCAAATCTGCTACTTTCGCTAAATTAGCGATCGAAAATGGAAATCTTGTGCACAACACTTAAAATTCGAAGACAAAAATGTCAAGTATATTCTTATTTTATTTGATTGTTCACTGAAATGCCATAAAGCTTTGATAAGGTGTAAACTTTTGCACAAATCTCTTCTCCATTTTTTGCATCATATGTTTTGCATCTTGAAGGGACATACAATTCGGTTCGTAATAACGAGAGTTCGTTATATACGGGATTCGTTATACCGAGGGGATTTGTATGGCGTTCGGCATAGGGGGGGATCCAGAGCAAATTTGAAGGAGGGGCAGTTGCTAGTAGGGGTGCTGAACAGTTTTCAAAAATTGGTTGCGAGAGTACACTGTATACAACAATTTCAGACACCTTTTCAGAATAAATAACATAACTTTGAGGTAATCCTTGAAGCAAATTAGCCTACCGGTCCACGAACCTTTTTCATCTGATTCTCATTCTTCAAAAAGGGCGCACGATTTCCAAAAAAGGGGCGCCAGACTTGCTTCAACTCATTGAGGGAGGGGCAACTGCCCCTAGTTGCCCCCCCCCCCCTTAAATCCGCCACTGGTTCGGCAGAATCTATGTGGCCAGAAATATTTCTGAAATATATCATACTGTCGGGATTCCACTGTAGATTGATCTTATGATTTTTTCAAAATCTTATATTTTATCCGCAATCCTGACAAGGTGTTAAGCCTTTTTGAAATGGCATTAAGTAATAGTACAAAGGAAAGATTTACATTTAAACCCGTCTCAAAAACCAACAAAACCAATCATTGATAGAGAATTTCGCTCTCAGAATAAAATAAGGCGTGTGATGTTTTGCACTCCTCGGAAGCAGTAGGCGTGCGCGTGCAATCGCACGCCTTTCCGACTAAAGCCTGGTATATTGCAGGTCTTGCCATAAGACCTTTACCAGTGGAGCAGTTAACAGCTCTCCTAGTAATTTCCAGGTGAGCTTTTTGAAGGTAAATAAGAATAGAAAGAAAGGAACTTTGGTTTCAAGGAGAACAATTTGCTTTTTAGAACAATTTTGGAGAGCAATATTGAGTTCCCCTCCGGCATTTGACGAGAGCCTGGGCGGCAACAAGAGCTATGGCTTTTTTCAAATGGCCAGGCCTGATATTGCTATTTTGAAATTTTCATATAATCAATTAAGAAGAAAAAGTATGTGTGCCAAAAAAATGATCATATGAACTTTAGCTACTTCTTTGACAATTAAAGTCAAGATGCTTATTATGCAACAAGCTTTCTTTAAAGCATGGCCTAACAAATGTCTAGCCTGCAAGACCTCTTAGATGGGTTCAAGAACCTTTTAAAAAAATCTGTTGTTAATTTTCAAAGTCTTTTATCTTGATTCTGAATTTTACTTATCCTTAGACGTTTGTTGACAATTGTTCTTCCTCTTTTTCAACTATAATCAGCCCACTGTATGCCCCATGTACTACTGACTTTTGAAGGAAAATATTTTCAATTCTTCAGATAAAATTACTGCAGAAACTTTGTCAACGTTCTCTGCGTATCTTTCTCGGTTTCAAAAGGCAGTTTAAGCTGTATATATTTCCATGGTTCAGAATGACAGAAACGGGCTATGCTCGAAACATCGTTATTTATTTAAAAAAAAATTTGACTGGTACAATTTACTTACATTGATCGTTATTATAGCATTTTATTGTACCGCACGCAATCTAGTATATTTATGGAATCTTCAAAATGACAGGCCTTCCTAGGAAAAATGTGCGATTGCACTCGCACGCGTTGGTACACGCCTCCCCACACTGGCAAGTGCGTTTTATCGCACGCCTGTTTCATAATTTAAAAATGCAGTGCTTACATTTTTTGCCCGATCAATTTCCCAAATCTTTCCGACTTCCCAATAACTAGATTTATATGGATTGATGGCCTTTATCCTTCATTTACGTTTTAAACTTTTTAAAATTGACCCTGGTGTTTATTTGAACACACGAGCTTTATTAAGCTATTTCTTTTCGTCTAGTTTCGAAACTTTTTCCCTGTTTAGTTTCGAAACTTTTCCAAACTTCCGATGCGTTTGGGATTGGTGAGTAGCGACAAGTGTGACGCCGTAAGATTATATTTGATAACTTCGTACCATTTTACTTTATAGAACACCACAAATTATCTTTAAATATGAACTATGAGTTAGATATGTTACAAAGCGCGAGCTATGACGAATAAATGATTTTAAGTTGTGGCTGATACATTTCTACTTTTTGACATGGGTCATCAAATTTAGTTAAAAGGAAACAAAATTACAGTGATTTGACGCAGACAGAGCCTGTGCTCAAGTTGCCATATCTCAGTCAGGTTTTGAGACATTTAACTGATTTCACACATTTAGAGATCTTTCAGGTTATGCAACCCAAATTATAATTTGTAAAAGCAGCTTTAGTACCATCATAACATTGAATTTGCCAAATCAGTTTACTGGTCAAAGTTTGCATAAACCGGGAAGCCCTTCCTGTGTAACTGGCCCTCTCACTGATTGAAAACACCATTTTTTATTTTTTTAAATCAGAAGTTTAATCAAAATTTTTTAGAAAGTTCTTTTTAATTCCTTCTAATTGAGCAAATTCTTCCTTTTTCCATTTCCAATCGGCCGGAAATCCCGAAGAAAGGAATAATCCTGTAAAGTTATCCATCATCTCATCTCTGCATCGAGGCTCGCTCCGCAGAGCACATCTTTTTACCTTCTGATTAGGATATTATCTTTATCAGCTGAAACTGAAACCGTATAAAAAGAGGCTTTACTGGTAGTTTATTACTTAACATTTGGCATTTTTTGCAACAAGTATGTGGGCTAAAGACCTCCAAGCCCCCCCCCCGCCCCCCTGCTGTTCCGCTGGTGCCTGTTTATGGCTAGTTCCCAGTCGCTAATGACAGTAATAAAAAATTCACCACTATATGGTTACTTTGTACCAGCACCCTAATCCAATTGCGTTTTTACGATAGCGCCTTTTTATTAACTCGTTCATTATGGCAGCAAAGAACGCAACATGATGCATCCTTTAGAGCACGTGCTTCCTCACTTAAGAAATGACCTATACTAACATTCAAAGAAGTAAAACCAAAGACTGTAGGAATAAAATGGAAGTTTGTCTCTTCCTTCCAAACCGAGTTCATTGGGACCAAACATGTCAACACCACTTGCAAAATACATTCGAAGACGAAGAATGAAGAAACGCTTCTTTGCAACAGCTCCTGTAAACTGCCACAGCACTAAGTGATGTCCCCACAACATAAACTCCGAGAATTTTTTGGCCGTAAATATATATCTATGCTCGAGAAAGGCCAACGAAATGTACTCGCACGGTACTTCAAGAGGCGATCACGAGGTATTGTCATGTGAGATTCCAGACGAGGATATTCTATCCTCTCGCTTAAACTTGTTTTAGACACACGTGACACTGAACGTCGACAGTTGAGCCGTTGCCCACATCATTCTTATTCCCAGTACAGTACAGTATATATGTGGGGCGATACCACTGCAGTTTATTAACAGAGAACCCAGACACGAGAGGATAGTACAAATTACACATAGTGCATAATATCAAGCTCCAGACACATATATTCACAGCCATTAACGAGAGCATATGCCCTAGACGCAATTATAGATTTCTGCGAGTGAAGATGAATTTATGAAGGGTACAATATGCGCCTACTCTGTCACTATTAATGAATTATATAGGGGGTTCGTGATTGAGAAGATAGTAGTTGCTATTTTTTATGTAATCGGTCAATCATATCTATCTCTATTATATATCTAAGACGCTAGCTTGGATTTCCCGTACCATTATGGGATCAAGGATGAGTCCTCTTGAGCAGACTTTTTTGGATTCAAATACTCCGACTGATAGTTAGAGGTTCAATTAATTTAGCTTCATCTATATTGCATGATCGCTCTGATCCCTCAACATTATTTCACTTAAACACGCAACACTCCACTGTTAGGCTTATGTGATTGCCTGCTATGGTAGGCTGCAAAACTGCTCACACAAGGATTATTAGTACTCTGTCTTAGCAGTGCTCCATCACTTTCTTATAATGGTGCCATTGCTTTTAACCACTACCATTTTCGCGGTTTCCCTGCAAAAGTTTCCCCTCTCGCTCTTCTAGAGATTCCATTCTTTTCAATAAGGCAGTTCCATGCCGCTCCATATTTTTAATAGCCTACTGTCTATACGTCTTAATTATGTGCGTTTTCTCTTCCTAGCATGGCCCGTCGTTCTGTTATCCATGCCCTACTACTAATATTTCGACGGATACTCCTCTATATGTTGTTATTATGCCGCGGCCTTCTCTATAGTACTCTGTCTTATATCAATATGATGCGATGATGAATTCTCTTCGTTAATAAATCTGAACGTGTTTATCTCAAGACATGATCATCAAGACATGATTGCGTTATATTTCAACGCTACTATATCTTGATCGAACAGC